GAAAATCCACCACAATGGACCGGCGGAAGGCAGCCACCATGAGGGAGAGGAGGAGGCTGAAGAAAGTGAACCAGGCTTTTGAGACCCTGAAGAGATGCACCACTGCCAACCCCAACCAAAGACTCCCCAAAGTAGAGATCCTGAGAAACGCCATCAGATACATCGAGAGCCTCCAGGAGCTCTTGAGGGAACAGGTAGAAAACTACTATCACCTGCCGGGACAGAGTTGCTCCGAACCGACCAGCCCCACTTCCAGCTGCTCCGATGGGATGGTAAGACAGAGGCAGGACCCATAGGGCTATGGGGACTCCAGGATGGCCCGCGGGCAGGTCCCCTCGGCCCAACGCCGTGGGACCAGTCCCATGGGTGTGGGACGGGCCGCATGCATCCAGACATCAGGAAAAGGCGGGCGGTTTGCCTTGGAACAGGCCCCTTTCCCAGGTTTGCCTTGGAACAGGCCCTTTCCCAGGTTTTCCTCTGAGGACGCACGTGGGCTCTCTGGGGATGCAGGGGGGCCGGCAGCGCTCCCCGAGGCTCCCTGCAGGCGCCCCAGCCCCCGGGGTCCCGGCGTGCCCTCAGAGGGACAAGGCTGGGGGAGATGGGGGAGATGGGGAAGGCGCTGCCCAGCGCCAGCAGCCTGGCTGGGGGGCGGCTGCTCCGCTCCCTGCTCACCGGCCTTTACGGCCCTTTGCCTTCGCGGGGAGCGTCCCGCTGGCCCCGGGGCGGGGGCGGCAGGGCCAGCACTCGCCCCTCGCTGTTTTGCAGGCCGACTGCGGCAGCCCCGTTTGGTCGGCGAGAGGCAGCAGCTTCGACGCCGTCTACTGCGCCGAGATGGCCCATGGTAAGCCCGACTCGGCCCGCCGCGGCCTGGGGGGCAGAGGCGGGGCCCNCGGGGACCCCCCCGCCCCGAGGCTTTGGGGCAGGCAGCGCGGCATCCCCGTAACGCTGCCGTGTCCCCGTCCCTCCCTCGGCCAGGGTACGCCGCCGATCAGAGCAGCGCCCTGTCCAGCCTGGACTGCCTCTCCAGCATCGTGGACCGTCTCTCCCCGGCGGAGGAGCCGGGGCTGTCCCTCCGTGACGCCGACTCCCTGTCGCCCAGCGCCAGCACGGACTCGGGGCCGGAGACGCCCGGGACGCCGCTGCCCCGACGGACCTACCAGGCGCTATGAGGGGCCGGAGGGGGAACCCCCGCGCCCGCCGCGCCCCGCGAACGCCCCTCGGGAGAGAGCGGCAGCCCCGGAGCCCCCTGGGGCGCCGCTTCCCTCTGGGGCTCCAGGCAAAGCGTCCCGCCGCCCTCGGGCCGGGATGTCCCGCATCCCGACAGGGCAGGCAGCCCCGGGGCTCGGGACACACGCGCTGCCCTGGAATCCCCGCTGCAAATAAAACGTGCTGTGAGAGAGCTGTCTGGCCGGCTGGTTCTTTAGTGCATTCCCTGGCATGGGGGCGGGCAGCGAGACTGGGCTGCGGGGTGCCCGCCAGCATCCCTGCTGAGCCCCCGGCCAGCCTCGGTCGCCCCTGGGCTCCTGCCTGCGGGATTCCCCCATCACGGCAGTCCCCAGCCGGGACATGCAGTGTCTTGCCGGGCTAGGGACTGGGGGCTTGCTTCTCATTCCACCAGTGCCTATGTGAGACCACTTATGCAGCAATAAAAATGTGGAAGTTTAAATTCTCACACTCTATGTCCCGTTACGAGCAAAGTTTCCTTTATTTTCTGCAAAAGTAAAATTAATATTTCACAGACATATTTTTCTATCCCCTCCTCCCCTCCTTCCCTTCCTGTCCACCCGTGCAAAGCTCATCACCTCAAAGTTTCTCTACTGAGTATGAAGATGGACTGCGTATTCCAGAATTTGACCCTAAAACTGCATGCTGACTCTGCTCTTAAAACAGCTGTATGATCTAACTCTGATGCTGTGCTGGAGAATTTTACTTGTTGCTCTCACAGAAACAAATTTAGTAAAGTTAGTAAGAACAAACCACATGTATCTCTTTCACAAGCCACAAGGTATATTTCATAATATTCAGAAAGCAGTATATGTATTTATTTGCTCCTAATGACTTTGGTCTTACTGACCAGGAAACAAATTCATTACTCTACGTGGCTGTAGAAATAACCAAATCTTCATATGTTTTCAGATTTAACAAGTATTTCCTTCCAGGCACTGAATTAGATCTATCTACCATGAAAAGTTTCCATCTTTTTGCACTCCTCTAGCTATAATTCAAAATTTTCTTAACCAACTCTTCCCCCCCTCAAATACATATATATGAGATGGAGAGATGGGCTCTTTCAGTTCATACAGAAACAGTTCATATGACACATACTCTGAGTGGGAAGGGATATACACCTCACTATTGTGGTATAAGGATGTATTTGCCGTTTGTGTTTGTGTTGCTTGCATTCGGCGACCAAGGGGCCTGGCAGTGGTATTTCACCTCTGATAAATCTTTCACTTGAACCCAGCCCAGCTGAGTCATCTCACCAAAAGTGACCTGACTGGCCTTTGGCAGCATCTCTGAACCAAAGATGAAAGAAGTCTTTGCTTAGGGTGGCTCTGTCCCTGTAGCGCACTGAGGGTCTCTGTCCCCCAACAAGGGGCTGCAGAGAAAGTGAGGTGGCACCTGCCTTCCTGAGCCTGCAGCAGGGCAATGGCAGGTGTGTGTGTGACACAGGGCAAGGCCAGCCCACCCTTTGTGCACAGCTTCCCTCGAAATTACTTTCTGCCCTTGCCCATAGCCTTGAGGTAAGTGTTCTTTTCTTGCAAAATATTTTAGGAGCCTTGACCAGAATGGGCTTTCTGTGTATACAGATATGTCTGAACTAATTGTGGAGCAGAAGTGGTTTTAAACCCTTGCGTTGTGGTCATGCAGAGGTACAAACAAAGTGTTCTCACACTCCTGTCATTGCAGATGCTTCAGGAGTATGCAAGTGCCTTAACACATACACAATCTTGGTTCTGGGGGATCAAATCCCAAGTCTTCTGTTCTCAGGAATCCTTATGCAAGACCGAGAACGTCACTGGTTTAATTTCCTGGCTTCTCATGCATTGCTGCAGTGTTGCAGTGTTCACTCCTGTCAATCAAAATACCATCCCAAGGATTCTTCTTATGCCCAAGATTTAATAGACTGCAGATGATTTTAAATGGTATTTTGAAATGAGCTAAGCTAGAGAACTTTCAGCATTTCATTCTGCTCTGTGCTGACCTTAGCAAGTGATCTCGGATGAAGTATGCAGAGTAACACTAGCAAATCACATGTTGGTAATGTACACCTCTCTTTGGCTGGCAGACATTTTGAGAGTCACAAAAAGGTCAATACTTCTGAGAAGTAGCTTTTCAGAGTGTGAGGAGAAGCATTCCGTTTGTGGGATATTTGTCTGTAGCCTCCTAAGTCCTACTATGGTACTTTATAACCTGTAGGTTTTGCTATACACATCTAGGAAACAACATCTGAATTACAGGACACCGATGAGAAAAGCTCCCATGAGCTGAAAAGTGCAATAATCCTTGTAAGGACTGGAAGTGAGCACCATGAAACTGCCTTTAGTCTGTGGATTGGGAAGATCAAAAAGGCTGTTGGGAGATACCATTCTGATCAGATATTACATATTTAATAATAATAAGTGGAACTGAAAAGAAAGATTTGTGTTTTATATGAAACATGTTCATTTAAGGAAGCTGTGCCCCGAAATTGATAAGAAGGTGGTGGTCTAGAAGATCTGACCTCCACCTATCCCAACTCCTACTAGTGTCTGATTGCTTAAGGCTCTGGGGCAGCGTGTAGTGGCCTCACAGGCAGATGGGCAGGTGCAGGGATGCCTCATGGTGTCAGAATAATGAATAGAATGAACAGAAGCTGTGTTACATCAAGTCTTCTGACTACCACTCACTGCGGGGAAGGGAATAATTCTGTACATTTTTTTGAATACAATTAATGTTGTATTTCACCTCTGAAAACCATGCTTATTTGACTTAAATTATAACTGAGGGAGGCAGCTAAGCTTTGGTTTTTTGTGTGTGTGAAGTCTCTTGTATCTTTTGTTAATAAACCAGACATCTTTAGTGAAATACATATTTTAAATCCAGATCAAAAGGGACATTTGCACATTGCAAAAACAACACAGAAGCCAGGAAGAGATCTCTTACATGTAACATGAAGACAAAAATCCTGCTTTCTTAATGTTCAAATTTCTTGAGTTGCTTGTGTGGAAAACCACTCATTTTGTCTGTAGGAAAAGATCAAGCTCTTTCTTTTCCTGTGGTGAGGCTTAAAAGTGATACATTTTAGTAATTAGTTCTTAGAGGATGAAGGGATCTTTATTTGTAGTGCTTGTCTAAATATGCCTAGGAACACCTCAAACTCATAGCTACATTGCAGTGGAAATTCAGCATCTCTTCTTCCCAGTTCACCCTGCTTGTCAGGAGCAGTCAGAATTAACCACAGCAGGCAGCTCACCTCTCTGCACGCTAAACTTCCTCCTTCACTCCTTTCTTCCCCCATTTCCTCCTTCTCCACCTTCTCCTCTGCAGAACCCTTGACTCGCTCATCATTTCTCCTTGCTCGTCTCAGCTGGACCTTGGCATGCTGGAGGACTCACAGCTGGCCAGCTGACTTGTGACCTTTGGCAGGTTCTGCATGTGGTGTCAGCCTTACAGCTGGCCACAACTGCCTTCCTGGCAGCTAAAGGCCTAATGAGCTTGGCCAGATGGAGACTGGGCTGGAATCCTGCTGGCTGATGAGAGACTGGGGGGTTCACCAAATGTGAGGGGGTGAGCAGTGCATCTGTCTATGTGCTGCTGCCCCAGAGCATTAGAGCCAGGTTTCTCCTACAGGCAATTGGATTAGTGGGATGACTAAAAAAAAAAAGGAGATAGCAGAGCTGGTTTTTCTCATGCTTTTTTAGTCTTTTTTTGTTGAGTATTAGGCTTCATTAGTGGTCATTACTCTCACTGCATCTCACAGTGTTCACTCCAGAGAGTCCAAGAGATACATACACCCATGCACCAGACCAGAGCTGGACTGGGGGAGTTATTCCCCTTCCCAAACACAGTGGGATATATTTTCCCTTTATCCAACAGGTGCCCCACTTTCCTATCTCCAGGAGGTTATGCATCTTGGACACTCAGATATCATGCAAAACCCTGTACTGTTACTTTCTCAAAAGTCTCCTGCTTTCCTCTCCCCTGACCAGTTGAAAGGCATTATTGATCCATAGAGTCTGTTTACTTCTTGAGCATTAGAAACACTTACGAAATCTCTTGCAATCTGCTGAAAAATGTTGCTGGCTATGATGCCAAAGGCATTGCTCATCTGTGCTTGAAAAAGATGATACCATGATATATGAGGGTCAGCAAACCCAGAGAGAGTTCAGAAAGGTGTTTCAGTATCTGCATTAAATCAGGTGAATTTGCATCTGACACTCTTTGAGAGGCCCTCAGAACTGGAGTAGCAGAAAAAGAAAAGATGTGCATTTTTTCTCATTATTTCTCTGATCTTCTGTGAATAAATACTTTTGAACTGATACTATTTTCTGTTTTAAAAATCCATGTAACATGACTTGAAAAGGTAGCTTTAAAAGTATTAAAATCCTTTCCAGTTGGCTGGAGTAGAGTCAATCAGTCATCTGGAGGTGGCTGCCTTTGCCCTGGTCCTCAATGCCATGGTTCTATCTCCTTTGGATAGTATCAAGCTGGTATTGGGAGCAGACATCACATTCCCTTCTCATCTGGTTCAATGCCTACCAAGAGTTGTCATTTGAATCCTCGCATTCCTACATTTCATTAACATTGTGTCTTGAGGAGCTGGGAGTCCTTCTGGCCTATTTTTCTCAGGTTGTATATAAAGCTGTGAACTCCCAAACGGGAATAGTTTGGCTGTAAAACTTCTTCAGATGGATGAGCACCATCCTCTTGGATGCCTGAAGTAGTGAAGACATAAGCACCTAAATAGTAAGATTTGAGCTCATAATCCCTGCATGACTAAATGGGGATTTTTCTGGGCCTCATCCAAAATTTAAACATTCACCCTCCTCTTCCTTGCAAGATCTGTGAGACTTGTCACAGCCTAGTGAGTGACGTCCGTGCAACTGGCCGAGGAAGACACATCCCATGAAGGTGCTTGATGCAGTGGGAAAGCACACACCCCACTAATCTGAAGCTGTTTGATTGATGGAAATATGGGTGAACAAACACCCAGTCTGGGAGAAAGTGAGTGTCTCATACTGGGAATTTGCTTTGAAAGACACACCTGGTGACAGAAAAAAAGGGGTTTCTGCTGAAACTAGAAAAGTAAGTACAGAAAGTAAAGAGGGCAGTGGTCACATGGCTGCTACTCAATATGGAGTAAAGGGATGGTGACTCTGGGCAACTGGGAAATAGTTTAATAACTCTAAAATCCCTTAAGCTGAGCATGAAGTAGAGGAAAAACCAAGTAAACAAGGGCTGAAGCAGCTGTATCCTACCAGTGCCTGAAACACACAGGGTTTCATAAATTCATAAATTTCTCACAGGGTTTCATAAATTTCTCACTTTAATTTCCTGGGTGAAATACAAAAATGACTGAAATTTGAAACTTGAAACTAGTTATTTCTAAACTTCCTAATAAATAGGACAGTAGAACTCTTTTGAGAAAAGTGCTCATGAAATTGGACTTCTCAAGCAGAAGTGATCAGCTTTGAGGGGTATCCTGACCATGTCCACCTCCCACAACCCACATTCCCATCTCTTTCTTTTCTGTGGAAGATAAGGACTTTGAGAAAAAAAAAAAGTATATATTTTGGTGTATAGTCTTGCTTTAATACATTCTTTCAACAATACCATGATTACTTACATCTCTTTTAATAAAGTGATTAGTTCTATTTTTTTACTGCTTTTTTATTGTCCATTTTTTCCATCTATATGGAGTTTTATTGCTGATAAGCAATATGCTTGTTTGCACGAATAAGTTTGAGACCCATTTGGGTTGCATATATACAGAAACAACTCTTTATCTTCGTGCAAACTGTCCTTTAATCAGAAATAATGTGTGGTAAAGAGCAGCTAGACAGCTAGGTTTATTCTTGCTGCAACTCCACTGAAGCCCCTGGAGTTTCACCAGGGACAGATTTGGGCCAGAAGGCCTAGAATATAGTTACAATATATTCATTTTCTCATGCTTCAAAAATGGACTGTTTATGTGCCAAGCTGTAAAGTGATATTCATGATGACTGAAGCCTGAACAACATTAAAATAGCCAGAGCCTCTGCTCCAAATCCTCTGGTATCCGAAACTGTTCTTTTGCTTTCAAAAGGAGGGGTTTATTGCTGCTGAGGGTAAACAAGGGCAGGGGCACAGCTTTGGTGCTCAAGCTGAAATAAGGACTAGCCTAGCTGATATTGAAGCTTAACTGTAGCGAGCCAGCCCCAAAGTCTGCCCAGTGTCCTCTGTACCAGCCCAACCTTCCTGCTCCTGTGGCAGAAGGTTTCTCTTGATCCTTTCAGCTCAGAAACCCTTGTGAGACTTGCTGCCCCATTCTCAGAGCCCCTTTTTCAGAGGATTTTTTCTTTAAATGAAAAGTACTGTGGAAAATTGCTTTTTATTGCCATTATAATGGATACAGTGGTTCACATAACTTGCATTGTGCTTGAGAGCCAGAGCCCACACTATGTTCACACACTAGCATATCGAGTACAATCATGTTTTCTGTTTAACTTGGCCATGATATCTAGAAGTAGGAACCTGAAATTGTGCTCACAATAACTGCAGTGTTATTTTTACGGTCTTCATTACCAGTCAGGTCTTACTGAATTGGTAAGATAAGGTAGGTACATCCCTACATAGGACAGTAGTTATTGATAGGTAGTAAGTGAAAGGAGCTCTTGAGGAACTTTTCCTCTAGAGCCTAATTATTTTTAAAGAAACTTTGCCCATCTGTTTAGATAGAAATTAGGTCAGAGAGAAAATGTTGCTGAACACATGATAAAACTGTCCACTTTTTAAAAACAAATTTCAGACCTGTTTAAGAAGAAATCAGTATGTATAAAAATTAGAGTAAGATGCAACAAAGTTTATTTTCACATCCTTTTGAACCAATAGAAATACCTGTGCACAGACATTCTTTATATATTCAGGTTTTAGCAAGTTCAAAACCTAAAATGGGAGTCCATCTGGGGGAAGGGAGAAAAATAATATAGCAGTATTGCCAGATTCTTTATTTTAAATGACATAGGAGTATTTTTGGGGGATTGGATGTGATGCTTGACTGAGTCTTCAGCCTCCATATAATTTTATTATATATAATCCTGGTATGTTAGATGTAGATGTCTGTAGTGTCTCAGGCAAAGCCTTTGCCCACAGCTTTTTCATCATACTACTGTGGGCAAATTTTTCAGAAAGCTCATGGTCTTTAGAGATGTTAGAGGTTCCTGGCAAGCAGCAGTTCTGCAAGGGCGAAGTTCTGCATCTTTTAGCTACCTGAATAGCTCTGTTTCATTCTAATCTGGAAGGCAACTTGGTTAAAAGCTGGGAGCAGCACCTACAACTGTTCTTCCTCTAATTCCAGGAAGAAATGTGCCTGGAAAATATTTTGTGGTTTATGAATGCTTTTATGTTCCTGTTTCGTGTTTCCTTTTGAAAAGGAGAAAAACAATATATAATCCAGTTGAAAATGTGGGTTATCTGAGAAGTGCCTGTGCTATAGGAATTAAGAGTATTGCCCCAACATTAAACAGTCCTCAAAATTTTCTGATGACATGCATGCTCAGGCAGGATTTGGCAGGTCAGAGCTGACGTCAGTGCTGTTTGGCATGGCAGACACACAGACCTGGGCTCTAACTTAGAGCTGGAAGGAGGGAAAAGAGCTTCTGGATTAATTTTGATGCTGTAATTTTCCCACTGCAATTAAACGAAATGAAGTGTTTTGTAAGAGAAGGGAAAAAAACCTGAATCCATATTGAAAGCATATGCTGTGCATCTGAGCCAAATGTGACTTAAATAGCCATAGCCTGAAAATTGGAATTTATAAGCATAACACCAATCCAGAAGAAAGTGTAGCACACAAATACTTACAAAAGTAAAATAATTCAGCAGCACCCAAAGATAAGAACACTATAATATATATTATTTTGGTCTGAATAGATATGCCTACCTTCAAGTGACACCCTGCACTTCTGTAAGCTTTTGCTCCCTCTGGCTTCTCCAGAGAAAGCTGCTGCAGATGAGGTCCTTTTGGGTGCAGGAATTCAAAGCTGAAGAATCCTTTTTCCAGTGGGATTATTCTTTTTATAAAGCTCTGTGTGTGTGCTGGAAAAGCAATTTATTTTGCCACTAATGTGGGATAAAGCATCATTACGCTACTCAGCTGTCACTGGGGAGTATTTGAAAGTGGTAAATCTATTTTGGGTCTAGTAGTAGTTCTAATCAGTCCAGTCTGAATAAAAAAAAGAAGGAAATACAGGACAAGGTCTGAACTCTGCTTCTCCACCCTCATCCTCCCCCACCACCCCCACTGCCCCCTCCCCCAAAAAAAAATCTGAAATATAAGGGACAGATTTTCTACATAACTAGGATGTTTTAAAAATGCCATTTCTCTAAAACTTTGAAGTACAGAATTTTAAATATATTACTAAAAAAATCAACTGTATAATTTAAAACATTGAAATGTACAGGAGTTAGGCACTTTACAAAATCCTATGGCAGATGAAGGCTCAAATTCTCCAGGGGGATTAGGTGTTTAAATATAGCTGAGAATCAGAGACTCCAGGTCCACAAGCTGGGCTAGAGATCCCCAGTGCCAAGGGCCTTGTACTTGTAAATCAATACAGAACACTAGGAATACAGGAAATTTTCAACATATGGGGAGAGGGACCTGGGCCTCAGTGTAATCTCTGGGAATACATAGTGTGAAGCAGGGCTCTGCCTAAACAGCAAGAATTTGATGAAGAACTTGTCTTACTTAAGTGTCTTAATCTGGATTGGAATATAGTGTCTTTCTCCAGTCAAGATCAATCTGTCTGTCTTTCTTTAGGTCTGTCTGCCCTTTCACCCTGTGTCCAAGCCCTGTGTTTCATGGTCTAAGCAGGGATAAATACTTAATTTACAAAGTAA